CATAATAATATTTTTAAATGGTCAAAAACTAACAATATTAACATGCTCACTAAAGCATCTATTGTAGATGCTCTAAGTGTGTTGCTAACACACCTATTATAATACATAATAATATTTTTAAATGGTCAAAAACTAACAATATTAACATGCTCACTAAAGCATCTATTGTAGATGCTCTAAGTGTGTTGCTAACACACCTATTATAATACATAATAATATTTTTAAATGGTCAAAAACTAACAATATTAACATGCTCACTAAAGCATCTATTGTAGATGCTCTAAGTGTGTTGCTAACACACCTATTATAATACATAATAATATTTTTAAATGGTCAAAAACTAACAATATTAACATGCTCACTAAAGCATCTATTGTAGATGCTCTAAGTGTGTTGCTAACACACCTATTATAATACATAATAATATTTTTAAATGGTCAAAAACTAACAATATTAACATGCTCACTAAAGCATCTATTGTAGATGCTCTAAGTGTGTTGCTAACACACCTATTATAATACATAATAATATTTTTAAATGGTCAAAAACTAACAATATTAACATGCTCACTAAAGCATCTATTGTAGATGCTCTAAGTGTGTTGCTAACACACCTATTATAATACATAATAATATTTTTAAATGGTCAAAAACTAACAATATTAACATGCTCACTAAAGCATCCATTGTAGATGCTCTAAGTGTGTTGTTAGTTAGTGAGTTTGCTGGGATGCTCGGCGCAGTTGGCAAGCCAGTTTGTGGACAGTGAGAGATGGACTTGATGTGACAAGTCTAACCTTTCTTATTTTCTTTTATTTTTATTCATATATTTTAGTGTATCCTACGCTTATATAACATATACTTTAACGCACAAAATCATATTATTGAAATATATCATTATTTTTTAAATTAATAAACATTAACACACATAGATGGATCCTATTTTTATTACTTTTTGAACTCGTTTAGAAGTAAAAGCCCCAGGTTTTTTTTGATTAAAATAGTCAAAAAAAATAGACTTTTTAATTTAATAAGACAAAGCATCACATCCAACTCATAATCATTACATTTTTTCTCTCACAAAAGTTAAAATTAAAAAATTTATCCAATACAAAAATTTTTAACCTCAGTTAAAATAATCAAAAAATTAAAAAGCTAACTCACATCCCAAACTAACCCCTTATTCTATACTATATTTTTAGACGGTTGTTTAACTACACCATTAAAAATGTTGTTAGTAGTACTAGTATTCCCATCACCACAGATAAAATTGAAAAGAGATGGACTTTCTCTCTAGTCTACTTTGTAAAATAAACCGTACTATTGAATTCGTAGAACTCACTGCAGATTCTATTTCACTAATATAAACCGTTTAGTATATAGAACTTGTCGACTATTTCCTCTCTGTAAAAAATCACATTAATCAGATATTGATAACCTCTTGATTGAAACACATTCTTGTCAATGATAAATATGATTTAAAAAATAAATTGTTAAAAAAATGTGTTGCGATCAAGGGGTTATCAATATTCGATCAACGTGATGTTTTGCAAGAGTGAAGTACTTGACGAATTATACACATTGAATGGTTCAGATCATCTAAATAAAACTCTTGTTGGATTTCACAGGCCCAAGAATGCAATCCAATTCACACTTTGTGGATTAGATAAAAGCCCATCTCAATTGAAAGTACCCTTTTGTCAGGTTTGTTTGGCGGATTAGGTAGGATGAGATTGTTAGTAAGGGAATGGTTAGTGAAGAGATTCTTAATGTGATGATTGCTAGTGAAAGAATTAAGTAAAAGTGTGTTTATTTTAATGACAGTGGTAGAGATGATCAATCCCAGCCCATATGAGGGCAACTTAATCCTATTGGGATGTGAGAGTAATACTCTCCCAGCCCATATGAGGGCAACTTAATCCTATTGGGATGTGAGAGTAATACTCTCCCAGCCCATATGAGGGCAACTTAATCCTATTGGGATGTGAGAGTAATACTCTCCCAGCCCATATGAGGGCAACTTAATCCTATTGGGATGTGAGAGTAATACTCTCCCAGCCCATATGAGGGCAACTTAATCCTATTGGGATGTGAGAGTAATACTCCATTTGGAGTAGCAATCTCCCTTCACAAGGAAGTCACCAAACAAGCTATAGTGAGACCTACCTCCTTACTATTCGAATCTCACATCCTAATGTGCAGAAAGATAAAAAGATAGATTATTTTCAACTTCCCAAACTTGGCCTTAATTTCTTTTTACCTCTTAAGAAACAACCTCATTGATGCTGAGTGTGAAAAAATGCTAGAGGTATAGTAATTTCGCTTCTAACTTGGGGAAAAATCTCATTAAAATGTGTAGTTTTTGTATGTAAATAGGATATATGTCATGTGATACTTTTTACTATTGTGATTAGATTTGACAGTAGGATCTACTACATTTATGTTGGGTGTTTGGGGAACAATAAATGATATATATATTTGTAATTTGTAGAATGTAGTACTACGTGATACCTTGTTGGTATACAAAAATTTCTCCATTCTCATACATATGGTATATACATTTGATTAGGGGTGTAAATTTGGCCCGGGCCTCGTCGATCCATGTAGGCCAAAATTCGAGTCGGGTCAAGCCAGTCCAAGGGACAGAAAATTAGACCCAAGCCTAAAAGGTATTCGGGCCTCGGGGCGGAGAGTGGGCCTAGACCTGGGCTCAGGCTTAGGCGGACCTAAACAAATTTTTTTCTTTTTTTTTTTATTTTTTCTATCAAAATTTTATTATTTTTCACTAAAAAAAACATTGGGTCTCAGGCGGGTCAGACCTCATCAAACTGGGCCTTAAATTGGTCTTAAGCGGGCCAATGGGCCTGGTCGGACTTCAAAATGATGGCATAGACCCTAGCCCATGGGCTAGGCTTGGGCCGCGGGCCATTTTTACACTCTTACATTTGATTAACCGTTTACTTTTTAGGTCTCATTGAATAGAATATTTGTGTAAAAAATTAAGATAATTAGATATCGGTAATTATATATTTGAATCATATTTGTTTTTAAAAAATGAATGATAAATATAATTTCAAGAATGATTATTCATTTTTTATAATATAAATTTAATTCAAACATATAACTACTGATATCCGATTATCTTAATTGTTTGCATAAATATTTTACCTAACGAGTATTAAAAAGTGAATAACTTAAATTATCAAAATGAGACATATAATAAATTACACAAATCTCTCAAATTCTCTCATGTTGAGATTCCAACACGAGGGAAACTCAACCTTTCATACATAACTATTCTAGGTAAAGAAAAATTAAATACACAAAAATCAAATTAACTATTATCAAAATTTGTTCTAGAATTATTTTACATAATTAATTACAAAACAGACCCAAAGAGTTATTTATTTCACGAATTGTGTGTATTTTCGGAATGCTTCCGTCAAATAATTTTGTGCATGTAGCTCAGCTCCTCTAAGTATTATCCCACCCGAAAGTTCATAAACAACTACAAACCTTTAGTATCATCCTCGTTAGACCATCTCCAACGGTTCATCAAACCTGGTATCAAATTCAAAATTTGATGAAAAAGTCACTTTTTTGAGCTCCAACGGTTTCACCAAATCGATATCAAATCCAGAATTTAGCAAATCTTTTACCAAAATGAGAACAGGCGAAGCATTTTACCAAATCACTGTTCCTAACCGTTGGGAGAGACCAACCGGTCAACCAGCCGGTTGCCCGGCCGGTTGACCAACCGGTCGACCGCCTAAAGGTTCAAACGGTTCGAAGAAAAGGTTCAAACAGTATAAAAAAAAAAATTTTTTTTGGCCTAACCGGTCGACCGGTCGACCACTAAAAGGTTCAAAAAGTTCAAAAAAAAAAATCAAAAAAAAAATTTTTTTTTTTCGCTTAACCGGTTGACCAACCAGTTGTCCCCGGCACAAATTTAATGAAAGTGCACCGTTGGAGCGAGTGGTATCAAATTTGGTAAAATGGGTCATTTTTTACTCAAATTTGGTGAAAAATCTGATTCACCGTTGGAGATGCTCTTACTATGGTATATCATATGCGCATCCACATCAGATTTTGTACAATAGCTTTGAAGTTATTATAGAGAATATCAACATCAAATTTGTTTTTCATCAGTCTCAATAAAAAAATTTTAAATTAATTTTTTGTTAAATTTGCTATAGTACCTCAATAACTTTGTTTAGCTACTGTTCATTAGTTACATGATTTTTTATTATATTTTCTGAAGTAAAATTGGGCCAAAATTTTTAAACCGGTCGTCCACCCAGATGTCCTCCTGAATATCCTACCGGATGTCTTGTGAGTGCTTGTAGCAGAAGAAGAAAAATGTTCAAAATTAGCCTAACCGGTCAACCAGCAGGTCAACAACAATTTTTTTTTTTTATACATTTTTTAAGAATTGTTTGGATGGCATTCTATTAATTTAATAAAAAAATAAAGAGTAACAAATACAATAAGAAATTAATATTTTAATAAGATTAAGTTAGAATAGAGAGTTTGATGTAGTGAATACTAAAAATGTAACTAACTAAAATAACAAAAATAAATTTTAAATTATAATTCAACTCAAATTTTATTGAGACTGATACGAATATTCTAAGACCAATGAATTAATTTAAAATCTCGCTATCAACTTTTTGACTTACCTTTAAAAATAAAAATAAAAACAAAAATCTTCATGGCTTAATAAAGTAATCTCTCTCAATAAAATTAATTGATTTAATCTTTCGACGCATGCAATTAAAAAACTTACAAAAATAGAATCAATGTGTAAATTTCACTGCCTTTTCTTTTGTCATAATCAGCTTTTCTAACATTTGACGAAAATGACATTTTACCATCATCATCTCAACAAAAGGGTACATATATATATATCAATTTGAATTTATTAAAGTCATAAAATTTAATATTTTTTATTAAAATTTTAAAAAATAATTTAATAAATGTCAAATCATAAATAATAAAACGCTATGCTTCAAAACCACCGATTACATCGTCCGTTAAATCCTATATTTTATTTTGCAGGTATATATGAGACTTATACAAACGATCTACGCAAAGGATAAATTAACCTATTCATAAACAATCTGTAGGAATGGGTTCAAGAAAGGAGTTGGAAAATTCGAAGATCTTCAAAGATCCTTGAAGAACAACTTCGAATTCTCTAGAATATGATGAGAGGCTTAGATTCTTCAATAATCTCAACTTAGGAACACGACAACAAAGGAGATGATGGAGATAAGAGATTGGGTGAAGAAGAAGGCAAAATGGCTAGAGAATAGAATAATGGCAAGGCTCTCCCATTGATCTCCCACTTTCACTCTCAAGGTTGATAATGGAGAAAGGGAAATTAGTTCTTTCCCAAGAATTCAAAAATCTCCAAAATCCCTCCCTTGTAAAGCTATGGGTGGGTGCTATTTATAGGCACCTCATGATGTAGGATGGAGCCCATGTGCAAGGCACATGGGGGATATTCTCTCTAACCACCTTGTCCGAGGAGGTGACCTCTCCCGCATAAAACTTATGGACTTTACTGTTCACAGATATCCAACTGCACCCAGGTTCCTTCTTCACACCTCGCTCTTTCATTAGTTTTCTCATACTAATTCCATCCCTAAAACTTCCCACCTCCATGTATGTGTTGGATAAAAGAACATACGTAGCTGAATAATCTGGTCGAATGGAAAGGATCTTCTTGGCAGCAATCTCTCCCAGCTCAACATTGTTGTGGACCCTGCACACTCCTAACAATGTCTGCCAAATCATATCATTTGGTTCAATTGGCATTTTTTGTATAAATTCCAAGGCCTCATTTAGGCAGCCTGCACGACCTAAGAGGTCAACAATACAAGCATAATGCTCCATCTTGGGAACCACACCATACGTTTCCTCCATCAATCGGAAATAGTAAAGGCCTTCTTCTACCAAGCCACCATGGCTACACGCAAACAGAACACACAACAATGAAACAGCATTAGGTTTAATACCAAACTGTTCCATCCCTTTGAAAAGATGAAGGGCATGACCCACATAACCATGTTGGGCATAACCTGATATAATAGCAGTCCAAGAAACCATATCAGGGTTAGAAATGCTACTGAATACATTCTCTGCCTCTGTTATGTTGCCACACTTAGCATACATATCAATCAATGCACTTTCTACACACTTGTCAGTGTCCAAACCAGCCTTGAACAGAAGGCCATGGACTTGCCGACCAAATTCAAGAAAACTAAGGGCAGCACAAGCGACAAACACACTAGAAAAGGTAAACTGATTGGGTGTAAAGCCTTCTTTCTTCATCCTAGAGAAGACGGCCAGTGCTTCCTCCCATTCTAAACAATTAGAGTAAGCAGTCAATATGGTGGTCCAAGACACTACATCTCTGTCTTCCATTCTGTCAAAAACCTTCCTTACATCTTCAAGGGACTCACATTTGGCATATGCATCTGCAATTGCATTGTTAATACTTAAGAACATCAAATCATTCCCTGACTTCAAAATCTTCCCATGAACTTCCCTCCCAAACTTTAAACACTTTAAATCTGCAATTGTATTAAACACACTACAATAAGTGTAAACATCAGATTTTACATTGTTTTCACACATTTTAACATACAATTCCAAAGCTTCTTGACTACACCCACATCGTGAATAGCCTGAAATCATTGCATTCCATGGCATGTTCACTTCGCAATTGGTAAAGTTCATATCGAAAACAGATCTTGCACCAGATAAAGCCCCACAATTTGAGTACATATCAACGAGGGCAGTTCCAACAAGAACATTAGACTCCATACCCAATTCGGAGACACACTTGTGAACTTCTTTGCCTTTATCAGCATCACCTAAATTCCCAACTGCCTTCAGAACAGCAATAAAGGAGTACGTATTTGGAGTGAATCCTTCCCTCTTCATTGCAAGAAAATAATCGAATGCTTCAACGTGATGACCATTTGATGTAAATCCTGATATTATTGCATTCCAAGAAACTTCATTATGTTCTGTTGTGGTGTTGAATAACCGACATGAATCCTCAACATTCCCCAATTTCATGTACATGTTAAGGAGAGATGTACTAACAAAAACATGCTGTGCAAAGCCTCGTATAACAATATGGGCATGCACCATTCTACCCAAATCCACACAATCTAGACCAATGCATAATTGAAGAATAGCAGAGTAAGTAAATCCATCGGGCCATATTCCACAATCCTGCATCTCACAAAAGTACTTCAACCCATCATTATATAACCCATGCTCAGTTGAACCCACAATCACAACAGTCCAAGAGAAAACGTTTCTCCGAGACATTTTATCGAACACTTCACGGGCAGCCCTAAAATCCGAGCATTTTGAATACGCGTAAGCTACATGATTGAGTAACACTAACAAGTCTTTATCCGAAAATTTAGATTTCAAAACGAAACCATGAACTATTTTTGTTTCTCTTACAGACCTTTTCTCTGCACATTGATGTAGGAGATCAACCAAAGCTTGGGTTTGAGTCTGTTGGCGAGTTTCATAACTAGCACTTGACTCTGTAATTTTGCTTCCATAGACTCCATCGACGTTTTGGGTAGTTGGAACTGGTAAGGTCGCTGTAGAACATCTAGTCTGCCATTGATTTTTGGTATTGTCATTAAATCGTCAGATAGCACAAACTTAATTGGCATTTGAGAGAGAGACAGACAGAGAGAGTAATCTTACTTTGTTAAATGAAGTTGGGTCTGGAAGTTGAAGTTGAGTAGGTTGATGAAATCCAAATTTGGCAGAGAAAATCGTTGCCATTGCCGATAGTCAGATTACTACAACATACCCATCAGCTTGTAAAGAAGATTTGAAGTGACAGTGTTGTTGCAATTTCCAAGGAAAACAAACAAAACATTGTTTTGTGTTTGGTGTGCAATAAAAATAAAATTAGCTAATGGGTTGCAATAAAAATCAAAGAAAAGCCAACTTAAAAACAATATCCTCTAGTTATTATTATTATTATTTTTTTTTTTTTTTAATTTAGTTAATGTG